ATATATATATATATATACACACACACACATATATACACACACACACACACACACAGTATATATGTATGGGACACTGCAGGGAGTAGATCCCTGTGGGGACGCTTTTAGGGTGGGGTGCTGGGAAATAAAACCATGTTTTTTATGTAAATGTGCCCTAAATATGGGTAGAACACGAAACAAGGTCATACCGGTGGAATAAGCCTTTAAGATGGTTGGGTACAATACAGCTGTATTGTATCCCAACCCCCCCTTCCTTCACAGATAGCGCTATGACATTCTACTGTATGCAATTTGTATGCATGTAATATACATTGCCATTCACCCCTATAGAAGGTCTGTTTGATATAAAGGAGTCATAGGTAACACTGATAGTCCCAAAGTCAAGTGAAGTATCCCAAGTATGGGAGCAGCTGGCAATTGGGGATGCCCCCTTCAGAAACCTAGAGAGCCAAAACTTAATCCCCAGAAACCATTCCTGGCTTTTTGCATTTAAAATAAATGGCTCTTTAATTTTAGGGTGTATCTGTGGTGTAAACCAACCATTTCTGGTGCGTAGTTGGCCAGGACGCATATGATTTGCATGGCCCCTCCCACTATCCTGAAATTAGGCATAGACCCCTTTATTTTTGGATTTGTAAAGACATAGAAACATGCAAATACACACTGTCCTGTACATTGAAAGCTCTACTGTGCTTCACACTGGTTCAGGGGCGACCTTTTTGGCTCATTTTGACCTACCATAGCCTGTACGGTTATATGTTCTCATTGTGCCTCAAGTCCTACTCCATAGAAGCCAAGAACCTTGAGTAGTTGATTGTAGGTTGGAATAATTAGTTCTATTACATTAGGCTGTGACTGTACTGTAACCCAAGCATTTATAGCTGTACAGTTGGCCCAGAGGCAAAGCAAGGAATTAATCCTCATTTTTAATTGTGATGGAAGTGAGGCATGTAGATACCATCTGTTTTACAAAAGGCTCTGCTGTGTTTTGGAATAAAAAAGGAAAGACATCTAGGCCTGAAGAGAAGGGGAACACCCTCGTCCAATCCCTATAGACTGTTAAAAATTGCCATTGGCCATTTCCAAGGTTGCCAACACTCAAAGCTGCTTGGCTCTGTTTGGTGCACCATGCAAGCACTAGGGGAATTTCAAGTACCTGGAATCCCCCTTCAACCAGGAAAATTATTGAGGGTTATATCACACAGTTTTGGCCCCCTTTTTTAAAACCCAGCATGGGCCTCAATAAAGCCCATCCTCACTAAACCTATTAGGCTTAAAAGAGATCTAAAGGCACCAGCAATACATTAGATATTCAGAACGCGCATTGGAAAATATAAAGGACTTTGTTATTATGCTCCAAATTCAATCTCTTACTTTAAAAACTGCTCATCCGCGTCTCCTCTGTTTTTTGTGCTTCCAGACCATCTCAGTCTGGGTCATCTCCCACATTGCCTCGTGCCAGATGTCACATGCAGCTTGGTAGGACAGACTGACAAGGTACTGAGGTGGGCAGATATGTGTGGGACATTAAAAGAGAACTATGAGGTAAGTGCTTTTCCCCCATAGTTCTCTTAAGGATCACGGGAGGACATATATTAGCGTCCTCCCATGACCCAAAGCTCAGTATAGTGGGTTTTTTTTTTCAAAGCTCAGTATATCGCGAGCTACAGCTCGCGGTATACTGCTTCCGCCGCAGACAGGACGGATCCCGACACCCAGCTGCGTGAGTGACAGCTGGCTCTGCCTATCTAGAGGCAGAGCCAGTGTGCCCGCCCACTTCCCCAACCGTTGCTCCAGTCAGCGCAGGAGGATCGGAGCAGGGGGGGGGGAATCCCTGCAGGTAGCAATGAGTGACAGTCAGAGGAGTCAGAGGATATGCAGGGAGATGATCGAGCGCCGGTATGTGTTCGCTCACTTCCCGATCTAATGAGCCGACAGGTGACAGTTTCATTGTCACACAGCGGCTCGAACTATGAGGCCGAGGATGAGTGATTTTTACTCACCCCATAGTTCTCCTTTAAGGAGGAGGGATGGGGCTATGAAGGAGCAGTGAAAAACAAAACACAGTGTACTGAGCACAGTGCTTTTGCATGTGTGACTACAATGGGAGCTATTAGGAAGGCAGAATGAAATGTGGACACAGGAATACAGGAAATGTATGTTAATGTGCATCTACTCATAAGTATTTATGGGGGCTAACTGGACATTTAAAGCTACAGAGTGAGAGATGGCATGCGGAAGCAAATATGACATGTTTGTTTTATGACTATAGTGATGTTTTAGTAATAAGGTTTTGGAAGTCAGCATCCATTAAGAAAGCCATGTAGATACAAAAGCTGGTAAGCCCGGAGGTGCTCAGCGTCGCCATACAAAGGCAGGCACCAAAGTACTAGTGCAAACCCATCATGTGGCGTAAACTTTCTCCTAACGTTGCAGAAATTAAATTTGTACTCATTTTTTTAAGCTAAAAATCTGTACCCATGTCACCCCACAGTAAATATCTGTTCTTGACGAATGTGACATTTATAGTAATCATGCGGATGATCATTCTTGGCTTAGACTGTGTCTCCTTACTGAACTGCCAATGTGTAAACGCCGTACCACACACGAGCATACAGTAAAGCCGGCCGCTGAATGGATTATTGACTTGCCAAGCTCTTCAGGAATTTTGAGTATGGTGACTGCGATGCCCTCATAACACACAGCCCTTTCTTTAATCTGCATTCCAGGAAAATTCTAAAGCACTTCAAACAAAGAAAAGTATCAATCTGCGGAGTCCATTAACAAGACTATGGAGGAATTCCACGCATTTGTAATTAAAGCATGGAAGTGACTGAACCGAGACTTCATATTCTTTTATTGCACTGTGCCAGGCTGTAAAAGATGGAGCAAGGTCTGAGGGATAAAACATATCAGGAGAGACTGCGGCAACCTAATATGTACTATTTGAAGGAAAGAAAAAAAGGGGGCACAAGTAGAACTTTTCATTATGTTAGGGGGGTAACTAACGTTCATAAGGGCAGTATTTTCAACATGCAGCCAAGGTCAAGAACACTGGAGCATGACAAACTAGAAGTGAAGCCAACATTTTTTTCCCTAGTTTTGGATAGAGTAAGGGAGGGCTATAACCCCCGTCAGCTTTTTTTTGCCATCTGTGTACTATTGGGGGGATTTCCCTTTACTTCCTTTCCGGTAGCAGACATCCCAACTCTCCCATTTGAATTTGTAATAGCCAATAGCAGACTGGCTATTGCACCCGCCCAATGCTGCTGTCAATCAGCAGAGGTGGACCTGAAGTTCTCCATCAGGTCATCTCTTTGCTGATTGTCAGCAGCAGAGGGCGGGTGCAATAGGCAGCTTGCTATTGGCTATTGCAAATTGAAATAGCCAATAGCAATCTAACTATTCATTCCTATGCTGTCTTTTTTCTTTTTTTATTCTGACAGCAGCAGCTGTCAGAATACTAAAAAATAAAACAGCAGATAGCACGGGAAGCATTAGCTTCTTTGCTATCTGCAATCATTTCAGGGGGGCAACTCCCTGACCTGAGAAGGGCACCTAAGCCGGAAATTACTTTTTTCAGGTTGGGATCCCTGCCGATAGCTACAAGAGGAAGTGAGAGGAAATCCCTCCAAAGTGAGTGAAATTCCTAGTGGCCAGCAGGGTCACCAGAACTAGTGTCCCCATTGGAAGGTTTCCCATCTATTCCTGTTCTGATGACAACCCATAATTTGGGATTTTCTTTTACTTTCAGTGATAGCACACTTAATTGGGTCTAAAATAAGGTATATAATTAATTCTTAGCTTTAATAACTTTTATTTCACTTTAGCGTTACCCAAAGGACCTATACCTAGCAAATCGAGTCTCCTAGTCTACTCAGTGATAATACAGCAGACTAGCACAGACCAGAATCAGTATTAGCCAACATGCTCCGCTATGCATACATCTGTACAACACACATTGTCGCTCTGTGCTGCTTTTCACTGGACATACATACACTCGGTCAGTGTGCTGCTTGGCTTTCGGCCTCCTTGTATGCATACATCATCAAAACGCAGATGTGTTGGAGTCTCTGGGACATTATTAGTCAATTGCTGATGCAGCAATATAAATATTTAGGTGTTTGACTGTAATCCGGCTTCAGGATCGTTTATTATTCTAGGCGCTGTTTAAAATGACAAGATTTTCCATTAAAGCGACTCTGTCACCTAACTACAACTCCCATGGAAAACACTCCATGTAAAAAGAATTTCTCATGTACACGCCAAGGATGAGAAATCCCCAGGGGAAGTCTTATCCAAAAATGGACTCTTCCAGAAGCCTCAATCTCTTTGGTCTCCTGCTGTGCTTGGTGGTTCCCCCTACCTACCTCCTTGCCATTACAGCACACAGTAGGGTACACGGAGGTCATGTGGAGGAACAACTGAGCACGGTAGCGGAGCAGAAGATCAACACTTGGGAGGAACCACTGAGCACAGTAGGGGAACATGAGATCAAAACTTGGGAGCAACCACTGAGCACGGTAGGGGAGCAGGAGATCAACACTTGGGAGGAACCACTGAGCACAGTAGGGAAACAGGAGATCAATAGTTGGGAGGAACCAATGAGCACGGTAGGGCAACAGGAGATCAACACTTGGGAGGAACCAATGAGCACTGTAGGGGAAGAGGAGATCAACACTTGGGATGAACCACTGAGCACTGTAGGTGAACAGGAGATCAACACTCTTGGAAGTTGTGGTTTCAGAGCAGACTTTAGTTGGGGATTTCCAGCCAACAGAGCAGCGTTCAGTGGTGAGTGTGGTGAGGGTGACAGGAGAGACTTTAATGTACAGAAGAATTTCATGACGAAGGTTACTTAAGTTTACCCAGGATTTAGCTTCTAAATAATTGCCTGAAGTACATGTGTAAAGCAAGCTGCCACAAAGCGTTCCCAAAGCAACTGCCAGCTCCAGTCTGGAAATGACCAGTACAGTACAGATGTTAATGGGAGCAGTGGCTGTGGCATACAAGCAAGCTGTAGCTTGCCGATAACCTGGCTAAAGAGAACCAATCAGGAATGGGCATTTATAACAATCTGAGCTCTTAACATACAATAATAGTGCAGCCTTAGCTCTTAGGGGTGCTGTGTGTCCTTCTGTTCACTTGAATTATCTTCCCGTCACTGTGCTAAATGTCAATAAAAGACGCGATGAGGCTAACTTGTCTCCTTTCCTGAGCTCAGGCTGCCAACCTGATCCTGGCTTCAACACCGCGAGTTACTGACCTGAAACATGTATGTAGGATGGGAGGTGAAACGTTTCAGACTGCATTGGCTGCATGCTTTCAGGGTAGTGATGTAGGGATCAGGATGACAACTATGGTGCTACTAAAACTTAGTCCGTTATAAAAAGGTTCACAGGTTTATTTCAAGGCTGCTTAAAGTGTACTGGCCAAGAAAAAGGATATTCAGTACATCTCCCCATACACATCACCACATGTTGGATCCAATTATAAAATGTACAGAAAAAGATCTGTTGAAGCTGCCTAAAATCCAGTGAGTCCTATTTGAGATGATCCCATCACACTCCTGACCAGATGTAACCCAAGGTAATGGGTGGGTGGTGAGATGACAGCAGATGCCTCTGCAGATCAGAACGTAGTACTACGCTATTTGAGATGACAACACAGTGCCTTTGCTTCACTGAAATCCTTTGGATTGTTATCAGCCCTGCCCACTTCACTGGATTACAGAACACCTCCCTCCTATGTTATGGAGATGATGAGGGGTTCTGTTAAACAAACACACCACCTGTCCTAGGGTGACAACAATGCCCCTTCCTATAGTGCAGTAAGTGAACGTTGTCACCCTAAGACAGGAAGTGTGTTACTGGCAGGATCACCAGGGAAAATAAAGAGGAAAAAAGCTTGAAAAATGAAAGCTAATGCAGCCGCCATATCTAAAGCCTGCAATACATTACTATTGTGTTCTTTGTTTTAGATACACTTTAAAACAAACCCATGCAGCTTCACTTTAATGGAGATGAAATCTGAAGCACATATGCCCGCCTTTTCCAAAACAACAAAGTTGAGTTGTGCTTTAAATAGTTTGTCCAAGACCAAGACATCTATGAACATTTTGTGGTCTTGGTTTCCGATCTCTTCTATCCTATTACAATAGGTTCTGTTTTAGGATCGCAGTACAATAAAATAAAAGTTTACCTGCATGGGGGAGTCCACAGATTTTGATCCTGCAGTCCTTGCAGCCTTTGACACATGGTATTCGCACCGGTCCTCATCATAACTGCTGTGAGAGTCTTGACTCAAGTGTCCATCAGCCCTAGAGGCCTCCTCACTAGAGTCCACCTCCATGGGCGCACACTGGCGGCTCTCATGAGCAGGGTTCTGCTCCCCCTTACTCTCCTTGCTGTCTTTGCCCACCGTCCTGGAGATGACCCCAAACTTCCGAGTCCTCTTTCCGCTCTGTGCCGCCCTGACGCTGGGCTGTGAGGTAGAATTGGTTGCTTTGGGTTCACAAGTGCTGCTGCGGCCGACATTGGAAGGTGGAAGAGGAGCCTTGCGCTTGATGCGACGCAACATGATCAGGTAGATAAATCCGCCATTCCAGCACTGCTCAGCCAGGTAACTGATAAAAACAAGAATGAAACAGATTGGATTTCTCAGTCACTGAATGAAGAGCGACAAAAGCTTGGTATACGGTATACATTTCCATTGCAATATTCTATATACTACCAATGCTACTAAAGTGCGGTAAACCAATAGCTGCAATTCAGATGTCAACTCTACAAGTTATTGATAGTGATTAGTAATTGATGAGATGCCCCAATGTTCCAGCAACCTGATGTTCTCACATCTCTCTGCCTTGAGGAAGGGACCCGGCCCCGAAACGTTGGTTTATTTGGATGTCTGTGACGCTTTCTGTCCAATAAAAGGGACATATTTATCTTTACTACTGAGTGCTGGTGATTTCCTGACTTTCCTGTGTTTGCACGGCGCCATCCGTGGTAATTCATCACTGCGAGCACCACTTTTTTCTTATCTGGCCGGGACTGCTGTGAGGAGTGCTGAGGGTCTCTCCATCGACTTACACTCAAAGCTTCTATGACATTTATATACACAGCCAAGAACTGCACAGGCACAAGGATTAAAGTGATTGCATTATCCCTGAACCAGCATCTCAGTCCAGGAAGTGGATGCTGACCCTGGATAATGACAGAACAAATGTGGTGCCATCTTGGGAAACAAAAGCAGATGAAGGCATTGTCAAGGGGAGCACTGTCATCTCTGAGATGAACTATATATCTGTATGTGGTACACTCATACATACATTACATTGCATACACTTTATATAAAAAATGCAACTGAAGACAGGTCACCTTTAACACGGCCATGCACGGATTCTCTCCTGGTCATAGCAGTACGGAGCGGATGTTGCCGCTGTGACATCTGTGTCCATACAGTTTTTTCCTCCATGTTCCGTTGGCGGAAACAGCAATTACCGGACCCCATGTTAGTCTATGGGGAATTGGATATGTGCCGGATTCAGGGGTAACTGGGTGTAAACAGACGCCTGTCCGTTTACACACAGCTGCCCATAGACTTGCATTGGGCATCCGATTGGGTCTGCCTGAAAAACTGAGAGGCGGCCCCGAACGGACCACCCGTGTGGAAGTGGCCTAAAACTGCACTCCACATGCATCATTTTAATCTGATGTACTCCCTCCAGAAGTGAACCTTGGAGCCTTCCCTACTTTAATTTAATCTGTGTCCACCAGCACAAGTCACAGCTCAGATTGCAGGGAGAAGATTTACAACAGCTAGGCTTGCCACCTTGTTTTACAGAGAAACCCGAACACTCTAGCAATGCACGGAACCTTTTCCTGGGAGAATGAGCCGCGGCTTATTCATATGTAAATAGCGCCACCTATTAATATGTAAATATCCCAGTCGAGACTATTTTCAATGGGGGGCCAGTAGCCCCTATCTGAATTTTGGTTGCCCCTGTTTGCCTGATATCTTGTGTCTGGGTTTCAGCTGCCATGAAACTCGGATACGGCATTCAAACCCCGGACTGTCCAGGTGAATCTTGAACAGGTGGCAACCCTACTTTCAGCACAGGTCTAAACTGCAGGTAAAGTACAGCACTGTCTGTACACAGAAGACAACACTTTCTGCACCCCAGGTGTAGGTGTCCCCAAACTCCACCAATGTGACTGCGTGAGCCCTGTTACTCAAAACTTTGCTGAAGCTGAACTCCAGGCAGATATAAAAACCGCATATAAAGCAGCTCTGTAACTATAAATATATAATTACATTTATTTTTAAATACCAGCAGTGTAAGTACTTGAACTTGATTTGGTGACAGTTTTGTAGAGCAGTGTTCAGACTGGAAGAGGAAGAAGCAGCACAAACGGACAATCTGCTGTGATGCAGTGTTCCCGTGCTTACAAGGAGCATGCCGATAGGAGGAAAAAGAAGAATGAGAGAAATAGGAGCTCATCAGTATGCATCTTCTCCGTTCACTGTCCAGTCACAGGCTGGGGGAGGGACAAGACCTGTAAATGTTACTGAACTGCAGCAGAGAAAAATCAGGTCTCCTCCCCTCCCAGACAGGGCTGTGCTGTGTGTGGCAGAGCTGTGCACAACCCAGGACTGGGTGGACAATAATACATATCCTTTGGCAGGTAAAACAGCTACCATACATGTACTTTATATGTGTATTTAGCCGATTGTCTGGAGTTCCTCTTTAAACAATAATACTTAATCTATAATACGGTGTTATTTTAAATCAGCACAGATCACACTGGTGTAAAGTGAGAACCCCCTTGTAGACGGGAGGGATTAGAACTATTTGACTCTGTAGTTAATGTAACTGTTCAGTGTTTAGATATTATATGTCTCTGCCAGGAATATGTCTGTGGAATACTGCCACTACTAGTGATGTAACCTGCAAAGGAAGGGTACGATCTTTGCATTTTCCAAATTCATGGAATGTCGCACCATTGATTAGATGAAAAGCAAATGCTTTACAATTAAAGCTGTAAACACACAAAAAGGATTTGAGCACATGTTCAAATTGTATCTCAATCTCCCTTTGTACCAGCCTCCTACAATCCCGTGACACAGCAGCAGAAGACTGGGGGAAGAGGCAGCTCTCTAAACCAGCCAATCATTTCCTTTCCACGTCAGAGGAACCCTTAAAATAATCTTCAAGTCTCGGGGGAACATATTTGAAAAATGTATAGCAAGATCAGTAAGTTGTAGATATAAAAAAAAAAAACATAATAAAGAATATAGTGTACCTAGGCTTAACACAAAGGTGGTTAATTTTTTTAACACCCCCCCAAATCTCCCATCCAAGTTCGCCCTCCCCAACTCCCCAGCAAATCTCCATAAGCAACTATTATCTTCAGTAATAATCATAAATAGAATAAGCGGGAAATAATAACAGAAAATAAAAACAGACAGAAACAGACAGTGGAGGTCAGTAAAGAAAGGCCTCCTTACCTCAATGGTGAGTAGGAGAAGTATTCATTACATTGGTGACCAGGAGAAGAAAGAACCCTTAACATCTGTGGCCATGGTCCCTTTCATTGGTGGTCAGAGGGTAGAAGAATGGTCCTTAGGGTTTTGAGTTTATTGGGAAGATTGGCCCTTACATTGGGGTTCAGTGGGAAGAATGCCCCTTCTATGGGGGTTCAGTAAGAAGAGTGTCCCTGACATTGGGTTCAGTGGGAAGAATGCCTTTTATGTTGGGGTTCAGTGGGAAGAATGCCCCTTCTACGGGGGTTCAGTAAGAAGAATGTCCCTTACATTGGGGTTCAGTGGGAAGAATGCCTTTTATGTTGGGGTTCAGTGGGAAGAATGCCTTTTATGTTGGGGTTCAGTGGGAAGAATGCCCCTTCTACGGGGGTTCAGTAAGAAGAATGTCCCTTACATTGGGGTTCAGTGGGAAGAATGCCTTTTATGTTGGGGTTCAGTGGGAAGAATGCCTTTTATGTTGGGGTTCAGTGGGAAGAATGCCCCTTCTACGGGGGTTCAGTAAGAAGAATGTCCCTTACGTTGGGGTTCAGTGGGAAGAATGCCCCTACTACGGGGGTTCAGTAAGAAGAATGCCCCTTACATTGGGGTTCAGTGGGAAGAATGCCTTTTATGTTGGGGTTCAGTGGGAAGAATGCCCCTACTACGGGGTTTCAGTAAGAAGAATGCCCCTTCTACTGGGGTTCAGTGGGAAGAATGCCCCTTCTACTGGGGTTCAGTGGGAAGAATGCCCCTTCTACTGGGGTTCAGTGGGAAGAATGCCCCTTCTACTGGGGTTCAGTGGGAAGAATGCCCCTTCTACTGGGGTTCAGTGGGAAGAATGCCCCTTCTACTGGGGTTCAGTGGGAAGAATGCCCCTTCTACTGGGGTTCAGTGGGAAGAATGCCCCTTCTACTGGGGTTCAGTGGGAAGAATGCCCCTTCTACTGGGGTTCAGTGGGAAGAATGCCCCTTCTACTGGGGTTCAGTGGGAAGAATGCCCCTTCTACTGGGGTTCAGTGGGAAGAATGCCCCTTCTACTGGGGTTCAGTGGGAAGAATGCCCCTTCTACTGGGGTTCAGTGGGAAGAATGCCCCTTCTACTGGGGTTCAGTGGGAAGAATGCCCCTTCTACTGGGGTTCAGTGGGAAGAATGCCCCTTCTACTGGGGTTCAGTGGGAAGAATGCCCCTTCTACTGGGGTTCAGTGGGAAGAATGCCCCTTCTACTGGGGTTCAGTGGGAAGAATGCCCCTTCTACTGGGGTTCAGTGGGAAGAATGCCCCTTCTACTGGGGTTCAGTGGGAAGAATGCCCCTTCTACTGGGGTTCAGTGGGAAGAATGCCCCTTCTACTGGGGTTCAGTGGGAAGAATGCCCCTTCTACTGGGGTTCAGTGGGAAGAATGCCCCTTCTACTGGGGTTCAGTGGGAAGAATGCCCCTTCTACTGGGGTTCAGTGGGAAGAATGCCCCTTCTACTGGGGTTCAGTGGGAAGAATGCCCCTTCTACTGGGGTTCAGTGGGAAGAATGCCCCTTCTACTGGGGTTCAGTGGGAAGAATGCCCCTTCTACTGGGGTTCAGTGGGAAGAATGCCCCTTCTACTGGGGTTCAGTGGGAAGAATGCCCCTTCTACTGGGGTTCAGTGGGAAGAATGCCCCTTCTACTGGGGTTCAGTGGGAAGAATGCCCCTTCTACTGGGGTTCAGTGGGAAGAATGCCCCTTCTACTGGGGTTCAGTGGGAAGAATGCCCCTTCTACTGGGGTTCAGTGGGAAGAATGCCCCTTCTACTGGGGTTCAGTGGGAAGAATGCCCCTTCTACTGGGGTTCAGTGGGAAGAATGCCCCTTCTACTGGGGTTCAGTGGGAAGAATGCCCCTTCTACTGGGGTTCAGTGGGAAGAATGCCCCTTCTACTGGGGTTCAGTGGGAAGAATGCCCCTTCTACTGGGGTTCAGTGGGAAGAATGCCCCTTCTACTGGGGTTCAGTGGGAAGAATGCCCCTTCTACTGGGGTTCAGTGGGAAGAATGCCCCTTCTACTGGGGTTCAGTGGGAAGAATGCCCCTTCTACTGGGGTTCAGTGGGAAGAATGCCCCTTCTACTGGGGTTCAGTG